AAAAAAAAAAAAAAAAAATAGGGAAGCTGGTCAGATGTGGTAGCTAGTGCCTATAATCTCAGCACTTTGGAAGACCCAGGCAGGAGGATCACTTGATTTCAGGAGTCTGAGACCAGCCCAAGCAACAGTGAGAGCTTGTTTCTGCACACACACACACACACACACACACACACACACACACACACACACACACACTTAGTGAGGTGTGGTAACACCTGCCTGTAGTCCTAGCTACTCAGGAGTCTGAGGTGAAGGGATCGCCTAAGCCCCTGAGGTTGAGGCTGCATTGAGCTGTGATTGTGCCACTGCACTCCAGCCTGGGTATCACAGTGAGACTCCAACTCAAAAAATAAAAAAAAATAGGGAAGATGAGGCAAGGGGCAGGGAGAGCCAGCCCTACCCCAGGGTCCATGCAGTAGCCCCCGTCCTCCCAAACATGACGACAGTAGCCTTCTCATTCTGATAGACCCAAACCGACTCATTGGTTTAGTAAATTGGCAGAAAACAGTACTTTAATCCCAAACTTTGGGCAATGGGAAAGGGCAGCTCTCCCAATCCCCCAGGCCTGACCCCAGCAGGCCGTGGTCCTTCCCCAGGTCTGGGGTCATCCTGAGATGCTTGTCTAGCTACAGGCCCTGGAACCTGCGCTGGCCTGGAATCTGAGAAAACCCAGCCACAGGATGGTCAGTGTCTCACAGAGAGCTGGCCGCCCACCAGGGATAGTACTTGAGGAACAGCTTCTTGGCCAGGTCCACGGTGTCTCCTCGTGGCTGGCTGGGATACCTCTGCGTGCTGAGGACAAAGGCTTGCTCCAGCAGGAAGGCATTCTGGTCAAACTGGCGCTGCTGGAAGGGGACACCCTGGGACAGGCTCTCCACCAAGGCTTCCAGGAAGAGCCGCCAGCGCGGGGTGTAGTAGTCGGCCACCAGGCCCGCCAGCTGCTTGTTGGCATAGTCTAAGATGTTGCCCACCGGCCCCCACAGGGTCAGCTGGTAGCGGCTGTTCTGTTCATAGAAGGCAGCCTCAGCCTCACTGACCGCCGCTGCCCGGGCCTGCTCCAGCCAGCTGCCCAGCAGGAAGCGGCTGTCACTGGCCAGCACCTCATCCAGCGCGGGCAGAAGCTCATAGGCCAGGATGCCCCCAGCCCTCAACAGGGGGACCAGCTCCTTGCTCAAGTAGGCAGTCCTCACCGCCTCGTAGTACAGGCTGACTAGCTCCTGGACCGCCTGCCGGGTGACGTCCAGCAGGTCATAGCGGAAGGTCGGGCTGGTGGCCAGGGTGGGGGTGGCTGTGAGCAGCAGTCGCCAGGCCTCAAACACGTCCGCTCGGTTGTACCAGACCGTGGTGTTCATCTGCAGGGATGGCCGCTTGACCAGAGGGCTGCGGTTGTGCCCACTGCAGGCCTCCCCAGAGCAGTTGTAGACTCCCCTGAGCAGCAGCTTCCACGCGGCCTCTGCCTCTGGGTGGGAGATCCCGTACCTCTGGGCAGCAAAGCGGGTCACCCAGGCCGCCAGATCTGGTATCGGGTCCTTCCGCCAGCCCAGCTCGGCCATGAGAGCATAGACCATTTCGTTCTGGTGGATACCCTCGGGCGCCATGCCCGTGCCCACCATGGTGGAGTTGGGGAAGAGGCGGGCAGCTTCGGGGCCTCGGTTCACAGCCTCCAGGGCCCCGAAGAGGCCGTGGTTGCCCCCAAAGTTGTGCAGCATGCACCAGATGAAGGGCTGGCCCTGGAAGGAGGCGGTGCGTGTGTACACAGGCTGACTTTCAGCAAACAGGTCCAGGACGAGTAGGCGGCCACGGGGCACAGCCCCCAGCACAGCACCGACCTGAGCGGGCGCCCAGAACTGGGGCTGGTGCTGGAAGAGCCAGCCTTGAAGCAGCCACACAGCACTGGGGTCCACTGTGGGGGGAGGCAGAGAAGGGGGCGATGAGAGGAGAGGAGGCCAGGGAAACGTTTACTCCATCCACAGACGAGGAAACAGGCCCAGAGAAGTCAGATGGCTCTTTCCATCCCAGGAAATGCCTTCCCCTGGGACCCCCACCAGTGGGACACTCTGTCACACACACGCCGCCCCGTCCCCCCTCCTTCCACGGGGAGCTCTGGAAGTGTTCATCAAGCTTCAGGGGCAGTGGGATTCCTCAAGGGCTGTTAGAACCTGGAGCCCCAGGTCCCAGCTTCTAGAATTTCTAGAGCACCTCATTCCAGTCCAGGCTGGGGCTGAGAATGTCTGTATGTGACAGCTGAGGTGACGCTGTTGTTTCTAGATCACACTTGGAGTGGTGCTGCTGGAGAAAGCTGAGGCCCTCTGCTCCCTTCTTGGCTAACCCAGAGGCCTCCCCGCCAAGCCATCCCTGGAATGGGACCCTCCACCCCACCCCTGAACAGCAGGAAGGAGCCTGGCCTCCACATGTGTGAAGCAGGGTGGGCACTTAATGCCTGTGGGCACCTCTCCTGACCTCCACCCTGCAACAAGGTAGAGACCAAAAAAATCTTTCTTTTTTTTGAGACAAGATCTTGCTCCGTCACCCAGGCTGGAGTGCAGTGGTGCGATCACACCTCACTGCAGGCTTTAACTCCCAGGCTTAAGTGATCCTCCTGCCTCAGGCTCCTGAGTAGCTGAGATTATAGGTGTACCACCATGCCTAATTTTTAAAGTTTTTGTAGAGATGGGATCTCACTATGTTGCCCAGGCTGGTCCTGAACTCCTAGGCTCAAGCACGCCTTCTACCTCAGCCTCCCAAAGTGCTTGGATTACCACATCCAACCAAAAATATTTTTTTCTTTGAGTCAGAGTCTCACTGTCATCCAGGCTGGAGTGCAGTGGCACGCTCACCGCCACCACAGCATCAACCTGCTGGGCTCAGGTGATCCTTCCACCTCAGCTTTCCAAATAGCTGAAACTACAGGCCATTACACCTGGTTAATGCTTTTGACTTATTGTAGAGGTGAGGTTTCACCAAGTTGCCCAGGCTGATCTCAAGTCTCTGGGCTCAGGCAATCCTCTTGCCTCAGCCTCCCAAAGTGCTGGGATTATAGAAGTGAGCCGCTGTGCCAGGCGTCAAACTCTTTTTCATTGCTAGCACTTAATGACTCTTTCCTCTGGGCAAGTTTCACTTATGTTCCTATGAAGTAGCCCCATTTTACAGATGCAGCAACTGAGATGCTGAGAGGGAAGTAACTTGTCCTAAAGCCACACAGCCAGGAAAGTGGCACCACGGTTTGGCTCAGGTTATCAGGCTCTAGAGCTCACGTCTCAACCACAGTGGGATTAAATGAGAGCACGTTTGTGTACACGCGCCTGGCAAACTGTAGAGTGGTGTGTGTTACTTTGACGTATTATTATTCCAGTCCCTCCTCCCATCCCCACTGACCTCTGCTGCCCCATCTTTCCAAGGGCTGGGGGCTTCCCTCCCATCCCCGCACTATACCTGCTGTCATGGCCTCATAGACAGCGGCGGTGGCTGCAGCGAGGTAGGTGGGCTCCGAGGAGGGGGGCTGCATCTCGTTAAAGGTGTCGGCCCCATAGATGTGGTCCGTGCCAAACTCTCTGGTCAGCTCCCGCAGGAAGAGGCTCCCAATGAGGGGGAACAGGGGGTCTCCCGGAGCCAGAAGGAAAGAGCAGGAATAGGAGCAGTTGAAGTGTCCCCAGCTGCCCAGCTGGGTGACATTGGCCTGAGGGAACACCCTAGTGGAGAGCAAAAGCAGACATTTCCTGGAGCCCACACAGTACTGTCTTGGCCCATCATCACCACCACCACCAGCCTCAACAACTTCTCTCTGGCTCCTGGAATACATCCAGGTTTCTCATGACCCCAAGCCTTTGCACATACTGTGCTCGCTGCCTGGAGTCCTTTTCTCTCCTTCCCTCATCACTTCCCTCTTCCTCAGGTGTGCCTGAGCTATCTCCCTGAGAGACAGCGCCCTGCACCTGAGAGATGGCTCTCCCTATCTCTTCCCCTCCCATGGGCTGAAACAAACAAGGCTCCTCTTTCAAGTCCCAGCTCACTGGGTGTGGTGGTCAAGCCTGTAATCCCGCGCCTTGGGAGGCTGAGGTGAGTGGATTGCCTGAGCCCGCGGGTTCGAGACCTGCCTGGGCAACTTGGCGAGACCTCATCTCTACAATAAATCAAAAAATTTGCTGGGTATGGTAGTGTGCACCTGTGGTTCCACTACTTGGAAGGCTGAGGCGGAAGGATTACCTGAGCCCAGGAGGTCAAAGCTGCAGTGGCCGTGAGCATGTTACTGAACTCCAGCCTGAGCGAGTGAGACTCCAACTCAAAAAAAAAAAAGACCCGGTTCATTGCTGCCTCTGTCCTGAGCCCCTTACCCCTCCTCCCCAGCACACAAGTGGGCCCACGTGTATTCCCGTCCTCCTCACTGTGCTGCATGTCCTGCCAATATGCCTCCCCTCAGGGACGGGGCCTAGGGCACTCTCCTTGTTGCCTGCCCAGGGCCCTGCACGGCTGGGCATTCACTGAATGAGCAAATAAGCTTCCTGGCACCTGGTGAGGGGGTCCAAGGGGTGGCCAGGTAGGCAGCAGTGTGCACTGAGCACCATGAGCATGGGAGCCAGGTGAGTGCAGGGACCAAGATGACAAACCCTTTGGGAAAGTAGGTAGAGATCCCATTTTATTTATTTACTGAGGTATTGAGTTGGGGTCTCGCAGTGTTGCCCAGGCTGGAGTACAGTGGCATGGTCATAGCCACTGCAGCCTCAACCTGCTGGGCTCAGGTGATCCTTTCACCTCAGCCTTCCAAGTAGCTGGAACTACAGGCATGTGCCAGCTTGCCTGGCTAATTTTTTGATTTATTATAGAGATGAGGTCTCACCAAATTGCCCAGGCTGGCCTCAAACCCCTGGATTCAGGAAATTCTCTCGTGTCTGCCTCCCAAAGTGCTGGAATTACAGGCTTAAGCCACTGCGCCTGGCTTTATTTAAGCTTCTCTCTTCTTTCGAGTTGGAATCTCACTCTTTTGCCCAGGCTGGAGTGCACTGGCATGCTCATGGCCACCACAGCCTCGACCTGCTGGGCTCAGGCAATTCTTCCACCTCAGCCTTCCAAGTAGCTGGAACTACAGGTGCACCCCACCACACTCATTTTTTGATTTATTGTAGAGATGAGGTCTTGCCAAGTTGTCCAGTCTAGTCTCAAACCGTGAGCTCTGGCAATCTTCTCGCCTCAGCCTCCCAAAGTGCTAGAATTACAGGCATGAGCCACCACACCTGGCTTTATTTAAGCTTTTCTTAAGCTTTTCTCCAGGCAGCGGGCACAGCATGTACAAAGGCCCAGAGACACGAGAAACCGGGATGTCTCACAGGGGCATGCATCCCCTCTTTAAACTGCGTGAGGGTGGGGGCACCTCACCTGGTGACAGCCTTGGGGACATGCCCTGCGAATGCAGGCAGCACTGGAGTCATGCCGAAGGAGCGCATCCGGTCCAGGATCCTATGCTGGGAGGAGCAGGGGGAGCCATTGAGCAGGGGCCCTCTACCCTGGGGAGGCCTCACGTACCTGGGGAGAGTCCTCACTGCCCAGTTCAGAGCCCGAGGATGGCCACCACCGTTCCTGGGCCCTTGTCTTCCCATCCCTTTACCTGCAGGTAAAGCTGCTTCAGGTGCCAGGAGCGGGGCAGGGGCCCACCCCAGGTGTGCAGGTTACCCATGCGTGCCCAGGCCAAGAAGGCAGGACCGGCGAAGTATTCATCAATTTCTGCCTGGGTCAGGCCCAAGGCCAGGTACACCTGAGGAGGAGGGCGATCACCACACTTATGGACACACTCATCTCCATGCATCCACTTAGTCATTCAACAAACATGTCTTACTTCCCTGTGCTGGGCGCTAGGGGTACTAAGACAAAATCCCACCCTAATGTGTTACATTTGTCACCTGGGTGAGGAGATGGAGTGCCACCGGGGAGGGTGTTAGGAGGCTCCAGGGAACAAGGGTGGCCACATGGAAGGGCAGGAAGTGCTGCAGGAGCTTAAGCAGCCCCTGGGTGGTCAGTGCACAGGGAGTGGAGCGAGAGCTGTCAGTGACATGGCTCTGCAGGGCCAGGAGACTGGCCGGATGTGGGGGCAGCAGGGAGAGAGAGGATCTCTGCTTCCCTTTCTTTTTTGAGTCGGAGTCTCACTCTGTTGCCCAGGCTGGAGTGCAGTGGCACACTCACAGTCACCACAGCCTCGACCTGCTGGGCGCAGGTGACCCTTCTGCCCCGACCTTCCAAGTAGCTGGAACTACAGGCACATGCCACCACACCTAGCTAACTTTTTATTTATTTATTGTAGAGATAAGGTCTTGCCAAGTGGCCCAGGCTGGACTCAAACCTGTGAACTCAGGCAGTAATCCCCTTGCCTCTGCCACCCAAAGTGCTGGGATTACAGGCATGAGCCACCACGATAGGCCAATCCCTGCTTCTTAAAACTACACCTGCTGCCGGGCTCGGTGGCTCAGCCTGTAATCCCGTGCTTTGGGAGGCTGAGGTGAGTGGAT